TGCATAGTCGATGCAAAAGTTCTTCGCGAGCCCTCTACTCATACTTTTCAACAACCAGCTTCTGTCGGCAAACCTCTAGTCGACAAAGCAGTTAGTAATATGAAAAAACGTGCACGAGAGGAGACTACGCCGATCCCCAAAATCTATACACAAGAAATCGTTAAAGCTCGTAGGGTGTGGGTGTTGATGAGGATATGTATATGGCTCTAGTCTTCAACCACACCCACACCCACCCGAAAATCCCGAGCTCCTTTTTAACGACCATAAGGGCGGATTGATCACTGACATGCAACTCGTGATCAAATACGGACGCGCTTTGAAGACAAAACTTGTCAAATGATTTTTGTTTCTTTTATTTTTTTTCTTGCTTCGTTGTTACTCTTGAATAAAACAGCTGATTGTTGAAAATCGTCTGTTTATCAAATTAGCCACCAATTAGTAGCTATTGGATTGGGGGACGAATTGAGAATCAATTAACGGAGTACGAATTTTGTGGGGGACGAATTGAGAGTCAATTAATGCGGAGGGGACGAGTTGGGGACGAATTGGGGACCAGTTGGGGACGAGTCGAGAGTAACTCGAATGGTATCATTTCTTTTTATTTGACAAGTCAACACGAATTTGTCATTTGAATATATAATAATAAATGAGAATAATGATCAACGAAAATAAATAATAATATAATAATTTTTTTTCCTTGTTATTATTGTATTTTCTTACAAATAATAAAAATATTTAAAAAAAGGAAAAAAATTATTATATTATTTTTTATTTTCGTTCATCATTATTCTCATTTATTATTATATATTGAAATGACAAATTCGTATTGACTTGTCAAATAAAAAGAATTAAAACTATATTACTTAATTATAAAAAGTGTTCGCAACTTGGAAACGCAATAAAAATAAGATCAACGTTATTTTCTGTGTTCCAAATTGCGAACACTTTTTTCTTAATTGACTTAATTTTTGTTCGCAATTTGGACATAGCCAAAATAATTATATAACATATCCTATTTATAATTAACTTTTATCTAACGTTAACTACTATTGATCAACCTCAACAATATGCTAATCGATGTATTAAACGAATCTCAAATACTTAATCTATCTCATAGAGAATTGTTCGATATAATTCCTCTATTTGTATGATAAGACTTGATTTTGATTTACTATAAATTTTAACTTAGGAAGGAACTTCTCGAATTGATTCATTGCTTTCCAATTCCCTTTTCTACCATTAGTTTGAGATCTTAAGACTAAAATATTTCTGCAATAAGTTTGGCTCATTAAGTACTGATTGTTGAGTTATGCTCATTTTTAATCAGTGAGATTTTTCCATAAGATATAGATAGATGTTATTCAAATATGGTGAAAGTATCATCAAAAAGGAATATGTCTTTGTCCATATATTGGATTTGGAAAAACTAGTCACGTTTCATAGTAAAAATACAATAAGGAAATATTTCCTAAAGTTATTATCTCGATAAAGATAGATTTGTTTTTGCTGAAACTTTGACAATATTCTAAGATAATCATGTTCTATTTTCTGGCGAAATCTTAGCTGAAAATTTCTGATAATTATCTTTTTGCAAAAGTAGTTTCCCAGGTGAATAATCGATAAGGTATTAAATAGGTATTTGATGTCTCGAAGTTTGAAACTCTTTTGTAGAAATAGGAGATGAACAGTTATGAATCACTCTGAACAGTTTCATCCTTTGAAGACAAACAAGATAATATATTCGATTTGAGACAATATGTATCATCTAGACTCTAACGAACTCTCAATACCCAAAAAGAGTTCCATGTTCTTAGCTTTATTCTGACGAACTATTCCATTTTTATGACATTTTTTAGCAGAATGATGTGCTCTTCCTCTGGATCACTGGGAAAATTGACTTTCCAATTTTCGGCTTGAAAATTTTTATAGTGATAACCTTGAATGAGACTAGTTTTTTATGAATATTTTATATTTCCAAGTTCCTTCTATTCTTAAATACAAGTTTAAGAAAAAATCTTACTTTTAACGATAATCATTACATAATAATTGTTTTATTTTCATATATTTGTATAGGAATCACCAAAAAAATAAAAAAATCTTCATAATAGACTAGTCTCATTACGACTTATCAGTATACAAAGTGATATTGAGGAAGATTCTAAAGATGATATTCTCAATAGAAATAATCTAACTACATAAGCTCTTTTTAACGTCTTGAGAGTTGATTAGAATCTGCATTATTCACAGAGTCTTAACTCGATTGTCAAAATACATTTGTCAAGTTCTTTTTCGTAAAAAATCCATGAAATAGTTCTACTCTATTATATTTCCTATCTCTTTTATTTCAGTTTCAGTTAGACATCTATCTCGAACGGAGATAAAATAGAATTATTGACTATGATATATTAGCGAGCTTCCGTCAAATCCATTAACTCCTATTAGATCCAAATGATTTACTGTAAATTAAAATATTTATTTACCTATTATCATTAATAATCAAGGAAAACATGAAAAAAACTTATATAAAAGCTTGATCTACTACTATTCGAAAATCAACAAGAATAACAAGATTATCAAATTTGAAATGTCAAATGTTGTGGAATGTCATTTAATGTAAAATATACTTATTTATCATATCTTTAAAAAAATCTTTCAATAAAAATAGTCTTCAATTAAAGGATGTTGTTTATTTTGCTGGTAAAACTAGAAAAAATCTCAATGAATAAAAATCAATAACTAGAATATAAACGAAATAAATAGGAACCAATTTTAAACAATCGAATTATTAACAATGGAAATACCCGACAACTGAAGATGATCAACAAGAACAACAATTAGTAAAACTTTTTTTATCGAAAAGAGAAATTTTTAAATTGTGATTTATTTTTATTATAGGCAATTCCACTTTCAATTTCGCTTAAAACTGCTTGAGAACCTCTTAATACTTCCGATATCCTTCAAGCTGCATAGAAAAAAAACTAAAACAATTGAGGAAATATCTTTATTTACTTTTTATTTAACTTCTATATTCTCAATTTAGTTAATTAAGAGTACCATTATCGAATATCACAATTGAAGATAAACTAAAACAATGTTGAATAGGTTTATAAAATCTATGTGAACGTCTAATTATAATAATAGATTCAGAAAGTCCATATAAATTTTCTTTAAGTTCTCTTCAAGTTCTATCCAAAACAAATGTTTGGTCATGTCAATTGTTGGAATATAACAACAACTGTTCCTCATTATGATAAAGTAAGGAGTGCATTATGGAAAATTCGAATGGATTTTTTTTTCTCACTCGTTTATATATTGTTGAATAGAACTTGACGAGCTGCTCATGAATATATAGTTTTTATTTTGATTTGATCACCGTTTTTCGTAAAATAATCGTAGAAAACTCGAATGATTGAAAATGTAGCCTTGGTAACTATGAACCTGGTTTTTTTTACTATAGAAATTGTCAAATTTCGATAAAGTAGTTTTTAAAGTAGAGTTTTTAAAAATCTTGTCCAATAGAAATAGATTCAACATCTCTCATAACACCTATATGGAACTATTCTTCTAAACGTATCTAGTTTTTTTCTAACAAAATTCGTTTTTTTTCCGTTTGGTAATAAGATTAGACAAAAGGATACAAAATATGCTCGTATTTAGCAGTTCTTATTACCATTATTCAGTTAAAAATGAAAATAGATAGGATATGAAGAATAAGTGTGAAAAACTCCATCGAACTAAATATGTTTTAGAAATATGTTTTTCCTGGGAAACACCGATCTCTGGGGGACTAGAAGGAAAATTTCAGAAAAATAGATCTGACAAGAGACCAGAGATGTTTTTCATTAGAAAGAGTTTTTACTAAAACATATATGATTCTATATAGTTTTTGACGGTTATTCTTCATATCCTATATATTTCGATTTTTAACTAGACTATGATAATAAAAGTCGCGAAATCGAAACATTCATTTGCCTTATGTTACCATTGTATAAGAAAAAAATTGAAAAGAAAGAAATTTCAAAACTTAAATGGATACTTTTGTAGTTGACAACCTGGCGATTCTAATGATATAAAGCGCTTGCTTCTATCTCTTGTTAGAAAAAAGAAAATAAGTTAAAAGAATAATTTAAACAAGGTACCATGAGGCATGTTAAAACTATCTATATTCGACGAGATATTTTTAACCTTATTCACTTTAAACATAACTAAATAAAAAGCGCCAATTTCTTATTACCACTGCTAGATTTTCAATCATTCAAGTTTTCTACGGTTATTTTACGGTAAAGAGTCGTCGATTGGAAATAAAAACCGTATATTCGTGAGCAGCTGATCAAGCCCCATCCAACCATATATAAGTGAGCAAGAACAAAAATCCACTCGAATTTTGGGTGTGGGTGTAGGTGTGGGTGTGGGGTGTGGATGTAGGTGTGGGTGTGGGTGTGGGGTGCGGGTGTGGGTGTGTGGGTGTCGGTGGGTGGGTGTGGGTGTGGAGTGTGGGTGTGGGTGTGGGTGTGGGCGGGTGTGGGGGGGGTGTGGGTGGGGGTGGGTGTGGGTGTGGGGTGCGGGTGTGGGTGGATGTGGGTATGGGTGTGTGTTAGGAGATGAACCACACCCACCCACACCCTAATAGAAGTGAATATTGATATTTTTGTCATTACTTTTACATGATGCGTTATTTACGATATATTTCAAGGACAATTCTTTTCAAATGG